TATGTGAAGCATTTCAGACAGCAACAAATACAACACGACACTCACTTGTATTCGCGTTTCTTCTTCGGCTCCTTCCTGACCTGGGGTATCGTCGTCTGCAGTTCCACTACATCTATACTACCAAACTTCACCCCCACATCCATATCGTGAAGTCCATCTAGCATGGTCTGTAGATATTTGGGTGTACACTTACCACTAATGAGCACATTGTCTCTGCCTAACAAACTACACAAGCCAAACACTTTCTCCCCGTGCAATTTCTCAATTGCATTGTATACTTCGTCCGCATGTGCGTGTGGCACTAGCACGGAGACTAACTTCATTGTAACGTGTTTATGTGCATACTAGTTACATTATACTACTATGTCTCCGCAGTATAGAAGGTGGACACACTCTCTATATTAGCGTGTTATGAATATATATATATTTATATATTTACATAGCCTTCTATATTTATATATATATATTGTTGAGGTTAAAAATGATAAGGATCATTAAGATGTCATATGACGTTTGAACTCAGACGTGACGTGTGAAACTGTCAAACAGGGGTTATTTGTTAGGGTTTATTTGTTAGGGTTTATTTGTTAGGGTTTATTTGTTAGGGTTTGTCTGTTAGGGGTTATTTGTTAGGGGTTATTTGTTAGGGTTTATTTGTTAGGGTTTATTTGTTAGGGTTTATTTGTTAGGGTTTTTGCAGTCGTTCCGGATAGGTTACCGATTATTTATATTCCATCATGATTACGAAACAGTAAACAAAAGCCTGTGATATAACACTATATACAATATCATACATACACACTTGCATATGTACACACTTGCACTTGCATACACTCGTACACTCACATGTCGAGGCCGTTATCATCACTCGGTTGTCTAATTCTCAGTGTTTTCTGTGTTGCAAAGAGCGCACACGTACTAGACTTCCAGCCTGACCCATCAAACCTGCAATTGGGTGCCCAAATCAACCACATCAACACCAGGATGACATCTCCGTGTGTGTCGACACCTGTACTTTTGACCACAGACGATTACAATGCCCTGCCCTACTTGAAGGGCGATGAAACGTATGCGTATGCCGAGGGGGGTGAACAGACAGGCCAGTATGGGGAGTTATATCTGCCGAAAGACATGGCGGAGATGGGCGATGGGACGCTGCCTGTGGTGCTGCTCATTCACGGAGGGTGTTGGCTGCAAACCTTTGGTATGCATGGGAATGCGACCTGTATTATAGCTAGTATATTTATGTGCGCTTATCACTTCTATTGTAGC